AATTTGCAGTTGTACTGTATATATATATCAACTCTATAGAGATGGGTGTGGACGTTTGTGATTGAATATGTTTGATAATACAAATATGATTGCTAACGTAGACCGGAATATCAAATCAAAGTTTTTGTTTCCTATAATAGCAGAAAACCCTGGCCATCTCATACACACGCAATTGCTTAAAGTTGCAATTTGCTTATTATATTGGCGCATCCATTTTATATTTATATGTTTTTGCGGTGATAAATTTGAGAAACGACGTAGCTTACAACTAAGCATACTGGCAACAAACACCCTAATCTAGGTTTTAAATTAAAATGCTGAGATTAGCATGTGGTTTAAGCGGAAACCCCGCTACCTGAAATTCTAACTCGAGGCTTGTACTTGTTCGAAACATATGTTATGTTCATAATTAATTCTAAATATATGCAGTTATATATAATTTTTGTTTTTAATATATTAATTCCCATAGATATGTATGTAAATCGTCGGGCTAAAATTCTAATTTCTTGTGGCCCACAGGTATTATGTCTGGCGATAATTTAATGTTTTGTTTATATATTATTTTACAGAGTTCTCTAGATATAGTGTTTTGTTTTTATAATTTAATACATAAACATATTTTATTTTAAATTCCAAAGCTTGTCACTTTTAAGCTAAAACCAAGAGAATAAAACAAGAATATATATTATCTATGGTAAACTTAGATATATAAAAAAATTGTGAGATTTGACAGTAGTACATTCGTTATGAAATATTCATATATAAATATTAGTAAAATATAGCTTAACTTAGCTGTCTCAGTATTACATTAGTAAATAATAATATATAGGGACGCAACACAAAGTACGTAATTCTTGGGCTCAAATGAATGCCTAACCTCATCACATGCTATTATATATCCATGGAGCCCAATGATATGATGGTGTGGACTAATGATCTTCGTTCCATCGAAATATTATAGAAAATTAGGAATTATAGGGATCTTGTTTTTAAAAACTATATGATGATATACAATAGATTATAGATAGTATATATACATCATGGAAGTTTAGCTAGCTGTAAAGAGAGTGAAAGTCATTCTTTATATAAATATATAGTTTCCTTTGAATTTTGAACTGTACATCTGTAACTATACAACTAGCAGCAGGCCATAGTTTCTTAGGTGAATAGCAGCAGGCCATAGTTCTATTACACGTTCTTGTTTGTTTATGTTCTTTTTACATTAAAAAGACTAGGTATTTACCTGTGCTATGCTGTGAGATATTTTTCTAGATTTGTATATATTTTAATATAATAAAATTATTTATATATTTTAAATGAGTATTATATTTATTTTTTATTAGCTTAAATTATGTATTTATATGTTTAAATCTGAATAAACATTATGTATCATTAATTTTTTTATTTTTTAAAATTATAATCAACTATCAAATTTGTTTAGCTAACTATCTAATAATCAACTTCTTCAAAGAAGTCTACTCACTCCGAGAAGTCTACTCGAGAAGTCTACGTAAAAAAAGGTTAGTTTTGCAATTGACCAAACTTTGACTTTTTCGTAAGAAGTCTACTTGCAAAAGTAGACTTCTTCGGAGAAGTCTACTTTTAAAGTAGACTTCTTAGAGGTTAGTTTTGCAATTGATCAATGTTGACTTTTCAAAGTAGACTTCGTTTGAAGTCTACTTCAAAAGTAGAGACTTCAAACGAAGTCTACTTGGATTAGTTTTGGGGTTGACCAAACATTGAATTTATTTTCGAGTAGACTTTTTTTTAAGTCTACTCAGATAGTAGACTTCAAACGAAGTCTACTCGGAAAAGTAGACTTCAAGCGAAGTCTACTCGAAAAAGTCAACATTGGTCAATTGCAAAACTAACCTCCAAGAAGTCTACTTTCAAAGTAGACTTCTCCGAAGAAGTCTACTTTTGCGAGTAGACTTTTTACGTAAAAGTCAAACGTTGGTCAATTGCAAAACTAACCCTTTTTACGTAGACTTCTTTTGAAGTTTACACTATTTTTTTGTTGTCAAAGGAAATGGCACAAACTTCAACTGAAGTCTACTGTCAGAAATTGGTACACCCGGTCAATTGCAAAACTAACCTGTGTGTTGACCAGCAGACTTCTTTTGAAGTCTACTACCAGCAGATCTGAAAACTCACAAAAATTGAATGAAAAATCACCTACCAGTGTATTTAACTTATTCAACCACCGATTTCTTTGATTCCAGCCACCACCAAACAAGCCCAAACGATTTGCCAGACCAAATCACCAAATATGGTAATATATTAAAACATCAAGTTTCAAAAATTAAGATTAGAGAGTTTTTGTGCTGAAAATAGTGAAAAAATAGAAGAATAGAAGGTTAAAAGAAGAGGAAATGAGGTTACAAAGCTAAAAAATAGGTCTTTGAAGCAATAAAAGCTTCAAATTGGTTGAAAATGGTGGTTGAATGAATTGATGGTGATGGCATTTTCGTGAATAAGTGAGGAAGATGAGGATTGTTTGGTAAAATAGATTTCCGAAATAATAATAAAAAATAATAATCTAATGGTATTTTCGTGAATAAATAGAACTGATAAGGATATAAGTGAGATAAAATGGTTAATTTCAAAAGTGATAAAATGAGAGGTTAGTTTAGCAATTGACTTGAATTTATGAGTCATTTTTGCAAAATTACCATAAAACATTGGTAACAACGACGTTGTCATGTAATAAGAAAACCTTAGATTAGTTCTTTACTAGAATCTCATTATAACAAAATTAGTCTCTTACAAAATATATTCCCATAAAATTAAAAACAAATGCCCAATAGGTGATGAGTAAATATACATTTCTGATCGTAATCATCTCCAGCACGATTAGTAAACTCGGGTGAGTGATAAAGTTTTGTAGTTCTTTACAAATACAAATACAACACAGTGAGATTATAAGCTACACTCTATGTATTGTGTACAATAATTACGACCTTGAAAACACCCGCAACCTTCACCTCACATAATATCTTTAGTTTCATTCAAAATAAAAAGACATTTATATCTCTACTCTCTAAGTACAAACAAATGACAAAAAACTGGCATTTTCTTTTTCTAGCAAATCTCCTTTTTCTGCTTTTGTCTCCCAAAAGAACAGAGCAAATCAAATGATGGGAACTTTTAAATATCTGTTGTCCAAACTTTCTCTATTTTACTTTTCACAAACTTCCTCTATTTTGGTTAGAACCTCTTTTCCAAGTTCAAATAAGAAATGAGCTTACACACTGATACATATAAACTTAGAAGTAAAGAGGCCTCTCATGTTACTCAGTTACATTATCAACAACATGTACTGAGACTCTAATTAAATCCTTCCCATTTAATGAGGGTTTAGATCAAGTGAATACGTGGTTAGTCTATCAGAATAAAAGCTGCCATGATTATAGACAATTGCGAGTGTACGCGTTTTAATTCAACCATAAACGTTATCATACAGAGTTCTATGATGCTTTTAATTTGATGTAAATGTAATGTGTTTGCGGTAATAGACGGCTGCAGGAAAACCCTAATAATCTTCTATAAAATATTATCATGACAATCTCTCATGTATTGTAATAATGAAATTTATAATTATTTGTTTTCAGTCAGTAAAAAAATACATACACTTCAGCTATACCAAACATCTAAACATATAACAGTAATTGTCAGCTTTCACAAATTCTCACGGCCGTACTCGCATTCACAATCTATGCGTTTAAATCGATCGAGCTCTAATTAAGTCAATGGAAAAGACTAGTAAGACTTATAGATTACCATTTAAAAACATGGAAATAAAATTTCATGATATCACTTAGACATAATTTATGCATAATATTTTAGTCAACAAAAATAAAATATTTCTATAAAAATTAGTTATACAATTTTGTTAGAAAATCAGGAAAACGACCTTGGACGGTATTATATAGTTAATTTAGTGATCCGATTAGAACATCTTAAAACTCTTTCGCAAAAAAAGAAGAAGAACATCTTAAAACTGTATTATGTCATTCCATCGTCAAAGTCACCCCACACCTCTCATCCAATAATTATTCCATACGAAAATGATTAACATATTTTCTTAAGATAATCAACAAGAGCATGGATCAACCTATAGAGTACTTATCCCATAATTAAGAACATCACCTATAATTGGAAAACGACGTGATGACGACATGGGATGGAGCACGATGCGAAGCCAAAATAGTTATCGCTTTTTTTTTTCTTTTAATTTTGTTAGTCAACGTGGAACTTTCATGCTTAGTTGCGTTATATATATATAAACCCATATTGTACAAGCTGATTCTTTTTAACTCTTATTTGACCCTTCTGGTTTTTCTAGGGGTTATATATATGAATTCTATGATACATCAAAAATCTTAGTAAAAACTATTTATCATTTTAAATTCAGTAATATCGAAGTTGATAGACTATACTGACATGATTAAAATAAGTTTCCATTCGTATTGTTCGTTTAAAAAAAAATAGATTAGAAACATAAATTAGTTTTAAAGTGGGATACTTTGGAAAATAGAAGGGCTGGCACAATTACGAAATAAGAGACTGAACAATTATAGAACCAGAACATTAACAATATTGGTGATATTGGCACTAACCGGCGGCTTCGTTGATAAATACATCTCAACTTCTTGATGGAAACATCAGAATTATATCATACTCTATGATATACAAAATGTTATTTTTAACATATTAATTAGTTATGATGCAAACATCTTTTAAATAGTGTCATTGTTCAAACTTCAAAGTCACCTTACCAACCCACAAACCCTTTTGTAACCATTGAGCAACCTCAAATCGCAGTGTCTCCATTGTCCCTCTCGTTCTTATCATATCATCTCCTTTTATCTTAGCACCTAACTAATTTTATTTTTTTCTTTCAGAAAGAAACATTTATATAGGCGAGGTTATTGTTTTTCACAAAATTCGTAGTACCGTTGCATGGACCGGAGAGATAAACCGGCTAAGGTTTGGTCCTCATGAACCCCAAAAGTAGAATTAGTCTCAACTGTTCAACCATCGGTTATCATGGTTCAATCCTACGGCTACTTCTCTGTTTCCTACTCTTCTCCGGTCAAGCTTCAGCTCAAGCCACTCACGGCGACTCAGATATGTATGGAGAAAGCTCTCGGTTTGACCCGACCATGGCAATACTTATGATCGTCTTGGTCAGCGTTTTCTTCGCTCTCGGGTTTTTCTCCGTCTACATTCGTAGGTGTCTCGAGCGAGTCATGGGGATGGACAACGTGCACTCCGCCGACGCCGGCGGAAATTGGCTTTCCCTGAGCCGTCCTCAGGCGCGTGGACTTGAAGAATCCGTCATCGAGACTTTCCCGACGTTCAGATACTCCACCGTGAAGACACTCAGGATCGGCAAAGAGGCCCTCGAGTGTCCGGTTTGCTTAAACGAGTTCGAGGACGACGAAACCTTGCGTTTGATTCCTAAATGCTGCCACGTGTTTCATCCTGGTTGCATAGACGCCTGGCTCCGGTCTCACGCCACGTGTCCCCTGTGCCGGGCCAATCTTGTGCCCGTACCGGGCGAATCGGTTGTTTCTATCCAGATACCCGGTTTGGCCGCCGAAGCTTCCCGTTCTGATTTAACCGGTGATCGGATTACGGTTTTGGGTTCTCCGGATGCGAGATTGATTGATTCGGTGGCGTTGACCGGTAACCAGAGTATGCCACGTAGGTCTATGTCTACTGGTTGGAATTTAGCCGGAATTTTCACAAATTCTGATTGGACCGGTCAACATGCGGAGAATCTTGACCGGTTCACGCTTAGATTACCGCAAGATATTCACAATAAGCTCGTAAACCCCAGCCTATCAAAAAGCCACGTGGCGTTACCTCAGGTGATGAGTTCGGTGAGAGGGTACAGAAGCGGAAGCCTAGAGACTGATAGTAACTATTTCTACTATGAAAGGTTTGACCAAGATGGCCGGTTAGACCGTAGACCATTCTCAATAACTCCTCCGTACCGGACAGGTTCGATTAATACGTCTCCTGGTAGTAATGGTGGTGATCAGGTGCGTGCTGGTACACCAAAGGGTTTGCTTCTTGCGATGAGATCACCGTTTGATCGGTTGTTTCTTGGAAAGAACAACGCCGGTGAACGTTCGTCGGACCACCTTCGTTCCGGTGATGCTAGTAGCCCTGTGTAGACCAAGTTGTGTAATTGGTTATTGAGAAAGTCTCTGTACATAATTTCATTTTTCTTCTTGCACTCTTAAAATTTTCAATTTTAATATTACGGGACATAAAGTGGTCCGGTCTTTGTTTTTCGTGGTTTATTATTCTACAGGAAAAATCTAATTCGTCCAGAACTAAAATACAAAACATAACAAAAAAAACGTGTGGTGTAGTGGTTTGTTCGAGTAGATTAGTTTTGCAATCTACGAAAATTGCTGGAATCTACAAAAATGTTTAATTTTCAACATGTTTTGAAGATTAGCCTCGATTTACTTTGGTTATTAGAAAAGGAAAACAAGCTCTTTTTCTTTGGAAAGCTGAACTGGGTTTCACAAGATAGATATAAAATTACAGGGCTAAATTATAATAAACTATTTTATACGGGAAAATACGAAATTATGTAAAGCTTGAATTAAATTAAGCAAAAACGCATGAAACGGTTGCAACTTGCAAGTGTGATCGAGTGAAGGAAGATACAGATAATGTACAAATTCGCCAACGCTGCATTTCGAAACAGAAAATCAAGCGTAGGTTCGCTCTTCTACACTCTCCAGAATCACTCAATCTCCAGGTGAATACAAAAAAAAAAAGTCATCCTTTGATCTAAGATTCTTTACGGCTTGTGTATGAACTTCGATCGACGAACGTTGTAGATCTGTCTTGTGTTATACCTAGTCGAATTTCAGTGATAGAATCTTCCTCTGGCTCTCGCGTTTTCTATACATAATCCTTGTCCCATGAGTGTTGCTTCTCTTGTTAATCCATTAGGTCTTTTTTTCCGACAGACAAAGTAAGCTGGTAAAGCCTGAGAGAATGGTCGGGAAAGATGACGATACGCATGTGACCCGTGTCCTATTTTGCGGTCCTCACTTCCCAGATTCCAACAATTTCACGAGAGATTACGTGCAACCTTACCCTTTCATCCAGGTTAGATTCTTGGTGATAATTACTAAAAGCTTTCAAATTTACTCTCCTAGGCTAGTTTTTGTTGTTGTGTAGGTGCTTGTGTTTGAGATTTGGTTTTAAAGTAAAGTAAAGATCGGTTTCTCTGGTTTGGATAATACAGGTTGATGTTGTCCCTCTCCGTGAAGTTCCCGAGGTTATAAAGAACTATCATATATGTGTGGTTAAGTCGATGCAACTGGATTCAAATGTTATATCTCGTGCGAGCAAAATGAAGATTATTATGCAGTATGGTGTTGGTCTCGAAGGTATCCTGTCTCATTGTTTGTGAATTCATACTTGAGAGAGAGCATAAAGTGTGTACCTTTTTGAAAATTGTCCTAAAGAAAGTGGCAATTTTTACCTGTGAAGGTGTTGACATTGACGCTGCTACTAAACATGGGATTAAAGTCGCTAGGATTCCCAGTGAGGGTACTGGAAACGCAGCATCTTGCTCTGAAATGGCTATTTATCTAATGCTTGGCCTTCTTAAGAAACAGGTGGCTTATTTATTTATTTGATTATTTCTCCCAAGGAAAGTGCTAGTTTTGATATTGCTTTCTTAGTTTAAAAGTTGATTCATTTAACATGTAATCTTTTTGCTGCAGAACGAAATGCAGATTTCCGTGCAAAGTAGAATACTGGGAGAACCAACAGGTGACACGCTTCTTGGTAAAACTGTGAGTCTTGGTTTGATCTTGTATATATCTGCATTCTATATCTTTGGTTTGTGTCCCTTACAACGGGTTCTATTGCACAGGTGTTTATCTTGGGATATGGAAACATTGGTACAGAGCTGGCGAAACGGTTGAAGCCATTTGGGTCGAGAGTGATAGCCACAAAGAGAAGCTGGCCTGATTCTATCATCGACTCAGACTGTATGTGATCTCTCGGTTTAACTCCTCTGTTTGCCTTGACAAACTCGTCCTGAGGTTCTAGTAATTTGTTTACCTTTTGTCTTCAGCCAGTCTAGTTGTTGATGAGAAAGGTAGCATTGAAGACATTTACACATTCGCGGGCAAAGCAGACATTGTCGCCGTTTGTTTGAGGCTGAACAAAGAAACGGTAATGTCTCAACTTCTCCTTCATTATGAACTGGTCAAGTATATGCAAGAGCTGTGCTTGGTGGCGAAACCCATCTTGCTCATATGCTACTTATTGCTTTTGTTTGCAATTTATTATTCATTGACTGTTCACCTTTGTCCTGTTGATCTTATAACTTTCAGAATGATATCGTGGACAAGAAGTTCATATCTTCAATGAAAAAGGTGATTTATTTATGGAAAAAAACAAGTTGAATTAGGTTGTGGTGACTGGTGACTGATGGCTGATGATATGATCTCTTTGTTGTTTCAGGGCGCTCTTCTTGTGAATATCTCCCGAGGCGGTCTGATCAACTATGAATCAGCTTACCAGAATCTGGAGTCCGGTCATTTAGGAGGCCTTGGGATTGACGTGGCGTGGTCTGAGCCGTTTGATCCAGAGGACCCGATTTTGAAGTTCAAAAACGTTATTATTACCCCTCATGTCGCTGGAGTTACAGAGTATTCATATAGGTCCATGGCCAAGGTAAAATATCTAAGGAAGATGCACTCTTTTAATATATTTTCTGCATTTGGTCTGAAAAGGTATTCTAAAATTCAAAATGTTATAAACCGCAGATTGTGGGAGATGTCGCACTTCGGTTGCATGATGGACTTCCTCCAACCGGAATCGAGTTTGTCAATTGATGAGTTTGCACTTTAGTGTAACATCGTTACATAAACTATTATTACGCTGTAATGTGAATTTATTCAGTGTATTTAAATTTATCCAAGTCTCTTTCTGATAACTCTGCCTTTTCACTGTAAATTTTATAGATAGGGAAAACTAGTCTCTCTCGTATTTTACTCGAGTTTGAGCAAACAAAACATTTTTGTGACTAACTAGTCTTTATCTTAAACCGGTTATTGACTTATTAGCCTATACTGAAATCTTTCCGGTTCTGTCTAGAGAATCGGAGACGCATGGATCAGCGTCGTCAAGCTTTCTCACGACCTCTCTCATGCTTGGTCTGAGATTCGGGAGCTTCGTAATGCAGAGAAGACCCATTTTCAGAACCTTTATCATGCTTTCTTCTACGTAAGACGACAAAACTTGCTTGTCCAAGACGTTTCTAAGGTTCCTTCGATCTTGTTGGATTTGAGAGAAGACATGGTCAACGATGTCTTTGCCTTCTCCAAACTTGTCTTCCACGGGACGAAGACCGGTCACTAGCTCCAGAAGAACCACACCGAAGCTGTACACGTCACTCTTCTCCGTCGCCTTGAAGGAGTAAGCCAGCTCTACAGTTATCAACATCACAACCAAAAGTAAACATTAAACCAGTTTAAACTAAACCAGTTTTCATCATGCGGACTAACCGGTTTAAAACCAGAACACTCACCGGGAGCCATATATCCATGAGTCCCAGCAACACAACTCCATTCATATCCCTTGTCTGCAACTTTTGCAACTCCAAAATCTGCGATTTTCGACTCAAAATCTCCGTCAAGCAAAATGTTGCTGGACTTTATATCTCTGTGAATGATCGGAGGACAACAATCATGATGCAAATATGCGATTCCTTTAGCAGCCCCCACCGCGATTTTATACCTGTTGCGGCAAAAAGGTTTAAAGATTGTAATCTTAGAGATCCATACTTAACCATTTGAGTAGAGAACAAACATTAGGTACCTCTTGTGCCAATCCAATTCCGGCAAACCGCCTTTAACATTCCGGCGAAGAGCCTCATACAAGTTCCCATTCTCCATGAACTCAAACACCAAATACCTAGAACCTCTTCCTACTAGACAAGCGAAGAGCTTCAACACGTTTCTGTGTCTTATCTTTCCAAGAATCTCCATTTCCGCAAGAGAGACCTCTGTCCCGTCGACTTCTTCTTCTCCTCTCCTCAACCACTTAACCGCCACTGTCCCACCGCCCTTTTTCAGATCAACACGGTATACTTTCCCCGCGCTTCCAGCTCCGATCACACGACCTTCATCCAATCTGGAGATCTCCTCAGCGTCAAGCTCCATTTGATGGAAAGACGCGATTTTCCATTTCGCATCAGCCTTGTTGATACCTCCGTTTTCGGAGTCGAGCTCACGTATCTTCAGGACTCTGTAACGCAACGCCAACAGACCAGCCACGAGCACTACCATTGCAATCGCAAGAGCCAAGAACAAGAGCGTTCCGTCGAGTGAGCGGCTCTTCTGCACGTGTTGGTCGCCACTGCACACGCTCAGAGACGGTTTCTCGCCCGCTTTGGCGTTTTGGCTGTCGACGCAGAGCTTCTCGTTGCGTGAGAACGCGGTGGATCCTCCCACCGCTAAGAGATCCGGTGGTATTCTTCCCGAGAGCTGATTCCTAGACAAGTCTATGAAACTCAGCTTCAACTTTACAAGGTTCGCCGGGATTTTCCCCGTTAGCCCGTTGCCTGAGAGGTCTAGCGAGTTTAAAGAAGTGATCTGAGATAAACCGTTGGGGATTTCTCCGGTCAGAGAGTTCTTGGCAAGATTCAGATCGACAAGCCTGACGCAGTTTATCAATCCGAGTGGGATATATCCTGTGAATGAATTGTTTTCTAGATGCAGAGAAGATAGCTGTTTCAAATCTCCGAGCTCCGTCGGAATTTCGCCTGAAAGAGTGTTGTTGCTCAGATTAATCCTCTCTATGTTAGTCAGTTTTCCGAGTTCACGAGGAATCTTGCCGGAGAATCTGTTGTTCAGCAAAATTAGCTGGCTCAGTTCCGTTGAGAGTCCGATCCGAGAAGAAATCTCTCCGGTGAGACCGTTATCGCTGAGATCGATCATCTTGGCAAGAGGCAGAGCCCAGAACCCTTCAGCAACATGACCAGTAAAACGATTTTGGTTGATCCTGAGCCTCAAGAGGGATTTGCAGTCGGCGTAGGAACCTGGAATCTCGCCGGAAAATTCATTCTGCAGGGCGAGCAAGAATTGCAGTTTGTTGTTTTTGCATAAGAAGCCAGGAAATGGACCTGTAAACACGTTCTCAGATATATCGACCGTCACCAGCGGCGAGAACCGGCCGATATTCGCCGGAAATTCACCGGAGAAGTTGTTCCTGTAAATGGACAACGAGGTGAGAAAGCGTAGTTCTCCGAAACCTGAAGGGAATTCGCCGGTGAAATTGTTTTGATGGCAGTGAAAAACCCTAAGCTCCTTCAGGTTCCCGATTTCTCGAGGCAACGCACCACTCAGCTGATTCAACGAAACATCAAGCTCTCGTAAACGAGTCAGGTTTCTGATCTCCGGTGGGATTTCACCGGTAAATCTGTTGCTGTACAACTCAATCTTGGTGAGATTCACCAGTCTCGTGATCGACAGTGGGAAATCACCTGAGATCGCGTTCATCGCGATGTCGAAAGTTTCGAGAGAAATCAAATCGAAGATGGAGTCTGGAATCTTTCCGCTCAAGTTGGATCGAGCTAAGTAGAGCCAAGTCAGTTTCTTCAAACCGCCAATAGTATTGGGAATCTCGCCTTCTTCGTAGTAATTGCTGCCGAGCCCGAGTGAAACCAGCCGAGTCAGATTCCCAACCCAGCTCTGAAACTCGCCGTTGAGGAAATTCACGGAGACGTCGAGGATTTCTAGGTTTTTCAGAGGGGAAAAGTCCGGAACCTTCCCGGAGAGTCGATTGGAGGTGAGATTGAGGACTTTAAGGTTTGTGCAGCTGACTATCTCCGTCGGGATTCGCCCGGTGATTAGATTAAAGGGAAGCGACAGTGTAGAGAGCTTTGTGAGGGAAGAGATCGCCGGAGAAATGGAACCCGAGAGATTCGCGTTCCCCAGAGAGATACCGGTGACTTCGCCGGAAAACGGGTCGCACGTGACGCCGCGAAACACGCAGGGCGATTCGGTGGGTTTCCATGATCGTAGAACGCCGTGAGGGTCGTCGAGGCGGTTTTTGAAGCGAAGCAAAGCTTGCGTCTCAACGGTCGATTCGACATTTGGCGTGATGATGGAGAGGAGAATCGTGGCGGCCACGGTGGCGAGCATGCCACGAAGATCAGGTCTTCTCGTCATTTACGATGGTATACGAGGGTAAAACGGTCAATTCCCAGCTTATGTGCTCACCATGGCCGATCCATTGGAGTCCACCTAGAGGAAAATTAAACAATATGAAATCAACAAACCAACCACTTAAATGTTTTTCACTCATTTAAACTTGATATGGAACAATAAATGTGTATAATGAGTATGAACAACTAGATTAACAGTACGAGATTAAAAAGAAATTACTAAGAAAATATACTAATGTCTTTGTGGATGACTCATACTGAAAATGTAACGTTGATGAACTTTTGTAAATGACTTATAAAGCTTGCTTATGTACTAAAACAAACATAAACTCCATAAGTGTGCTTTAAAGGCACTCATTACAGTGCAGAAAGTTTATGTTCCTTGTGCTACATGATTAGTTTAATAATTTGCTTCGAACGTAAAGCAAATGATCTATCTGCTGCTTCTTCATCTGTGAATGAACTTATAAAAAATCATTGAACCTTTAGTGAAAAAAAGAAGAACCCAATATTGAGGATTGAGTATAGGTTAAGGATTAATGATTAAAAGGTAAAATCAATCACAGATCATATTAGTGGATAAAGTAGTATTTGTTAGTACAGCTAGTAAAAAGAGCTCCAACTTTTTCTTTGAACTTGTCCTTTAAATAATTAAATCTGATAATAAACTAACCATTGATTGAGTAAAACAATTGATCAAAACGAAAATCAAGAAAAGCAACAGATGTAAACAGAAGATAATGAAGAAATTGTACCGATAATAGATGAAAACAAACCAGAATCTCAGAACCTTCTTGAATCTGTTGAAGGTAAATTAGAGAGAGTTTTAAATAAACATAATCGAAAACAGGGAAGATTTTGATTTGTAGTTTCCGGAAAGAAAGAGGAAAAGGCCTTTTTAGGTGATTTTTCTTGGACCACTTTGTAGGAAAATCTCTGGGAAATAACAAAAAGCAAAGAGAGAAGTTCTGATTTCGAGGGGGTTCTTCGAATACACCAGATCAGCTGATTCGCAATTAACTTTAAATGAGAAGTTATAAAATTTTATTATTTTTGGGTTAATCTCGAAAGATAGAATTTTGTCAAGAACAGATACAGAGAAGGATGTCTCCAAGAAATACGAGAGAGATAGATTTTTGAAGATTGAGAGAAGAGAGAGAGAATAGATAAGAGACAAGAGAAGGTTGTCGTTGAGACATGGAGCCAAAAAGGTCAGTCATTTCTCTTAAATCGTTTCACTCTCTCTCTCTCTCTCTCGCTCTCTCCACCAAATCACCAATGTTCGTGAAAGTTATAATTTTAAAAAATAAAATAAAAAGTAGTATCAATCATCTGAGTATACTGATTTTGACATAGGGTGTGATGATCTTTCGTTTCTACAATTAGCGTCGCTTTCAGGTAAAATATAAAATCCAACGGTGCTCATATAGTTTTTTAAATACGAACAATACCGAACAACAGACATTGACATTTATGATATAGTTTTGTCGCTGTGAGAAACATTCATCTTTCGATCGGTTAATGTAGTAGTTTAATGTTTCTAGATGGATTTATTTCTTTTCCTTTTTTATATTATAACAAGAAATGAATTATAACCTCCATTAGAGAATTATAATTGTTAGATGGATCATGATAAAACTATAATATAAAGCAGCATAAGCACATAATTACGCTTCGATTAAACCATAACAACGCATTGTTTATGTTATGGCAATAGTTGAAATCTTGGAGAAACCGATGAAGGTTATTAGAGTTATAATGAACAACGAATCGAATTGATTGATCCCAGATAAAAAAAAAACAAAAGAAGAAGAATTAGGTTTCTTCTCTGTACTGTTAATATTCGTTTATAGTCTGGAAAATTAAATAAAAAGAAGAATTTGGTTGCGTCGATTACCCTTTTAAGTGAAGTTTGACAAGAATCGTCTAACCTCCTCAGTGTCTTTTTCTTTCTACATCCGTCTCTCTAATGTTATCCCCTCTTTGATCCGAATCCAATTCTGGTTTATCTCCAGCTTGTATTACACGTTTATTAATTATGAATACCAATAATTGTTTATTCTCTTTCTCATGCACATCAAAGGGCTTTGTTTAAGCACACAAATTAAAGACTTAATGGCTCTTGCGTGGTTATTATTTATCAGTAGTACAACATCTAATCACAAGTACAGTAATTGCATCCTACAAGTAATTTTACTGCGCAGTAAATATACATGAGTTATTCTATTCTTGAGATTATTCTCTATTGTCGATTATACGCCAATAGACACTAAGACTGAATAACACAACATTTTTGTTATTTTACATATTTTCTTCTTGTATAATCTAATTTAATATTCTCAACACCTAATATAGTCTTTCTTCCGATAAAAATGTCGGTTAATTGGAAAGAGATACGGCTTAAATTATGTGATTAATGAGAATCAAAGAAAGATATTGGATGCTGACTTCCCTTTCGACTTTGGCTCATTTCTTTCCCGTCGCTTTCCATTTGCCTTATATTCAAGAAAACAAATTCTTCTGACATATGTTTTCATTTTTCCTCCCCAAGAGAAGAGAAAGTGGTAGAGAGACATTAGAGAAATTATAGTTAGTTTGAGTTTACTAAAATTGTTACTTTGTCAAAGTTCATAAAGAAAAAGAAAAAAACCGAGTTTATCAAATAGAACGCTGAATAATTGAGGGTCTCAGGGAGAAGAAAATAAGCTAGCTAATAGTGAAAGTAGGGCCGAGGTTAGCTAGCAATATAAATTTATACAATAATGTAAATGTGGTGGGTTTCCATAATTCTTAGCGTAGGACCGTCCAACAATGATAATAATATTCATCAGAGAAGAAGCCGATAAAGATGAGCATATCTGTCTCCATACCTCTAATAACACAAACGTCCCGTCATTACTATACATTTGTTTACAAGACACAAGATTATGCAACGTCATGGGAAATTCTTTATATGTACCTTATATATTTTTATGAATAACATAACATAAGATTATGCAAATAGAACTGAATCATGAAGAAAAACAATATATGTGATTTGGTGATGAATATAATGCACTTCATTTATATTGAGGCCATACGAAATGAGACACGTTTTTGAAGATGGGTTTTAGGCGGTGAGTCCAGTGGAGCAACGTCACATTCGGGACATGCACATGAAAAAGATGAGTCTATCACGCGTATGTGTTTTTTGAGTGTTATATGTGAACAGAATCTCCGACCTATGTCTTTGCACGTGTGACCATGTTGAGACAAAACTATTGTCTCTATATCTTCTGGTCCACTCATTTATCATGACACATTGTGTTGTCTCTCTATGACTGAAAAAAAAAACTGTTCAAACACTTGGAGACTTATAGGAAGTCCACTTTTAGAATTAGGCAAAATCACCAAAAATGTTTTACCAAGTGAAATAGTGAAACCTTGGGCTAGAAGGGAGTGGAACTGACTCGATAAGATGTAACATGGTTTTGTATCCAATAAAGTTATGGGTTTATACTAGAAACAAATGTGAAAGATCGTAAAAACTTGTTAAAACTTTTCACTTTCAGCAGCCACTGAGGTAAAACCCATCAAGGTTTCTAGAAGAGGACCACTCAACACTGATTGCTTGTGAAAGATAATTGATCCGTGGCTACGAATTGAGTCAAAAAATCAAGTTCTTCTTCTTACCCTATGTTCCCATCAGTCAAACCGCACTCGACACTGATTCATGAGTGGAATGGTCAAAGAGATTTTAATCTGTAGGTTTCGGGAATGAGAATGTGTATAGAAAAAATTAATTTGTTTGTTGTGGTTCAAGCCTTTTTGTTGTATGATCCTATCAGTCAAAACAGAACGATCGTGTAGTATTTTATAAAGGGAAATGATCAAAGACAAAAAGTAAAAGGTAAGCACATCTCTCCCGGTTCTTGAACTGTGATTCACGAACCGGCATGACGGAAATAGAGAACCGAGCGGTACAGAGCAGCAACATGGAGGAAACAAATCAGGGCTATGAGTAGATCATCAAGCAACCCAACAACCCCCAATACTCCTAAGACATTTTAGTTAAAAGAAATGATTTGTGAGAGAAGACAGCGAGATAAAGATATGATGATTCATAAGATATAATAATGAAAAAAGAAAGACAAATTACCTTCTGGAATGATATCTATTGGACTGATTATGTAAACAGCACTGAGAATCATCTGCATCCAATGGAAAGAAACCGCGTAAGTCCCAACACTGACAACTCAAAGCATGACTTGTAAACATTGAGATACAGAATCTAAGAGTTATGTCGAACTTAACTGCGATATAAACTCGAGCTCTAATGACAAGTGGAAGCGTTCTTTGTGGATCCATCATCTCCCGCAACAACCTGCGGAGTAAGAAGGGAAGGTCTTGCATCCTCTGCCAAGAGAGCAAGAAGAAGATTTAACATTACAGCTCCAGATTTTTCCCCATTTAGCCATCCATAGTCACATAGAACACATACCTGAACTAAGCTACTTGATCGTCCTCCAAAGAGTCGGTTATACGTTTCAAGACTAGCAAGAACCTCGGCGACAGTAGGGTCATTACGGTCATTGATTGTGTCCTCTGAAGGAACCAGCAAACTTATTGGACGACGACACAAGGGGCATTTGCACGGCTGTAACGTAGACCCGTGTCTCCACACAAGCATAATGCAATTTCCTAGAAATGGATTTGAAGAAGAGTTAAAGAGACGGAGAGGTCATCAGAAAAGCAATTTCAAAATGCGGTTCGGGCAAAACAAAAAGATCGAATCGACCTAACGTTAATGAACATACAAACTTAAGCCTATAATTGCAAACTCAAATAGAGTACAGAGCTCTTAGAGACATTAGCATGAAGAAAAAAGGTCACTGACTCCAAATTTCGCAGTTATTAGTAAAACTACTACTGACTCAATCAATACAAGAATCTATAATCCGTCGCTGATCTCATCAGAAACAAGAAGTATGTTCAAAGTTTGGAAATTTCTGATTCAGGAAAGCTCAACATGTCCAAAACAAAACAATCACGAGAACACAAAGAGTAAATATCAAAAAAAAAAAAGTCAAACAAAAAGCGGGAAGCTAAGAATAAAATCATTTCATTCCAAAATCTGCACTTGAGAATCTAAATGCAACACAAATCTCATACCAAATAAAGTTCCAAATAATGAAAAAAAAAAAATATAGCCAAAAAGGGAAATAAATTGGACATAGCTTTAGGCAAAATCGAAAACAACAAATTCTCCAATATCATGGAACCGACTTAGCGAAGATACAAGAGAAATCAAATCAAGATGAAGACTAGAAACGAAGATTGAATTTCGAAAATCGAGGAAACAAAAAAAAACGAGGGTAGAGAGAGAGAGAGAGAGGTCACCGCAGAACCAATGGGAGCAATTAGCTTGGCAAGGAGCGGTGAAGTGGGCATGGCATATCGAACATAGATCGTTCTCCGGCGGCTTATTCATCTCCGATTATCTTTCCCAATTTTCTTCTCTTCCTCGTCGTTCGCCTTTCGCTGCTGTTTCTGATATTTTCGTACAACTTTGAAAATGATTACGTACGAGTCGGTGATTGTGGCGGTCCATCGGAACTCGGTTCGGTTCGGTCCTCTTTTTTTTCAATTACCGGTTTCGCAAATTACCAAAACGAAACGACATCGTTCGTATGTGAATAAAGAAAAAAAAAAAAAAACCACGCTAGAGTAAAAAGGTTCGAGCCATATGCTTGCGGCCGACAATTGTATAAATAAATCTCGTTCGGTTTTGTCTTTGAAAAAAAAGAATGCGTGATTGATAGCAACATTTTGAATTTAGTCGGTGTCCAAAGCCACCGAGAGAAGACAACAAAAGGTTCCGTTTACATTTGGCAGTACACCTCAAAAGACTTATACTTGCACAGGTTTGAGAAACAATTCAACAACAAATTGCGTAATAGCTCAGTTTTCTACTTACTTCCGCTTTGTCGTAATTGTCTACTCGTCCGCAGCCTGCAAACAATAAGAAAAAACAGAAAGATTTAACCTTTTTCTCATGGATTTTAAGATGATCGAATTGTTTTAGAGGTACACCGCAAAAAAAAACTGTTACTATATGTACTCAAGAACCATCAAGATATCTGCACTAGCTGAAGGATAATCGCACATAACAAATAATGTAAGTTGCAAGATTTCTCAACTTTGTAGGCACCAATATTATCACTATATGCAAGGATAGATATCAAAACTCTTGTCTATTGTTATTTACCACTTCTTAGTTCAATAGCCATTACTACGACACAAACCAGCATGTGGAATTAGTGTTTACTATAGCAAGGATGCATGTATAGAGATGTGATACCAAATTACAAAGCTTTACGACTCGTTGTTCAATCTACTATAACCATAGACAAAGATGATGTTGTCTCTCTATATATCCTTCAGCTACACTCAAAAGTCAAAACCTTTCTAATCTTGAAAACTTCTCTAACGTTTGCTCTCCAGTATCGATTTTGTACCAAACTAATGATGAATCGATTCCCACAAACTAATGATGAATCGACTAACCTGAGATACAGAAGTCTCTGTGCTCTTGGGAGCTGCTAAATTGGCTGGAGATGAAGAAGGTGCATCGAAAGCACGAGAGCAATCTGTGTATGCAGAGCCAATACCGAGTCCAGCACCAAAAGCAATCGACGCCCATCTTGTAGCAGGACTCCCTAAGCAAAGTCAGAAAACTAGGATAAGTGAGTCTTAAGGTGGAAATTACAACTTGAACAACAATTTGGACAATCTATGAGTCAAAATGGAGAAACATTTCTCTAAACCCCATTTCTAAGAACCTAAATCGGTAATCACACTACGCATCTATAATATAACGATTACGCGTTATCAGAAAACGAGAATCGAGTTGGGAGATTGAAACACCGAACTGAAGAAGAGAAGTCCGGCGAAGGCGCCGCCGAGGGAGGAGTAGACGAAACGGCGGGTCGTGAGGTCGAGACACGCGTCCCACTTAGCGTTCACATCGTAGTCCGGTGACACACCGACATTTTTCTCTGCCATTTACCGATATCGATCTCCTCTTCCGATTGATAGGTTCCTTTAGAGTTTTCTTCTTCCGGTTGTTCGTGATTGATTTCCCCCTTTCCTGGCTTTGCTCGATCTGAAGGGTTTGTGCACACAATAAAAGTGGGCTCAAAATTGGGCCCCAATTGATTAGAAGTATCAGGCCGAAACCTTGGGCCTCTTTTTAAAAGATATCAATCTGGTCTTCTCTTTGGTTTAGATTTTTATTGTTTCGGTTTTATACCGTTGGAACTACAGTATTATATCTTAGACTTATATGAAAGTCTTTGTGTGTAACTTTTATCGAACTGAAGAAAAAGTTTCATATTAACCTTATGTATTCTGATCAATTACTGTTATAAAAATATTCAACCCTTCAAATGACTAACATCCGCCATTGGTTAATTATATCTATATTTAATTTTCATAGAAAAGATTTTAAGTTTAGAATTTATATTTTATAGTAGAGAATTACAAAGTTGTTGTGACGTTTTGAAATTGTGCTTATTGGTATATCAAATTTGGAAACCACAAAGATAGGAATAGATAATTATGTAATATGCAAAAAAATTGTACAAAATTTGAAGGTATTATATCCCACAACCGTTAGTCAAATCATACATTTCAATCATATTTGGGTAGTTTCTTTGCATCAACAAAGAAACAATTGCATACGATATGTAATCCTTTTTGATATTTTCAAATGTGAAAAACATTTTTTATCATGAATTTTTTGGTATGTTGAAAGGAAAAAGGTTTCTCATGTGAATTTTTCTCTCATTTTTAAACTTTAACAAAAACACAATAATAATATGGAAACTTTTTTGAAAAAATTTTAATATTTTTTTTTTTGTGTCTATAACATTTGGAAAAATTGTAACAGTAATTTCTTGTTTCTATTGATATTGTTATAGTGAACAAACTATTTTATTGTAGGTGACTTAGGTTTAAAAAGCTTACAAACGCATGTCTTAATTCAATATGGAAGCTGCTGGTTGGAAACTTAGTTGCATGGTTATGTTGGGTGATCCTCTTAATCAGCCGGAGAACAATTTGCCATTGTGCCTTTGTTGTTTGTTGGTAGGAGGATTATTGACAGCATGTCTTCAGATTCAGGATAGCGGTGGTCTTGATTAGGGATATCAATGATTCATGTACATTGCTCTCTCCATCGTGACAGAATACTTCTGATTCGCTAAATGAAACTCCATCGTCAGTTATTCTAAATTGTAACATAGTTTGATTTTGGGTTTGTTTAAGAAATTCTATTTAGTTCTGACTTTTCTCATTATCTATTTATTAAAAAAACAACTAAAAAAACTATTTTAGAATTTTAACAGAGTTTGGATACGTGGAGCACTTAAAAGGAGTCAGGACGTGAGATGAAACACAAGAAAAAACAAACGAATATAGTACCAAATATATATATATGTGTTTCACGTGGATCTTTTTACTTTTTCCCTTTTAAAACTGAGAGATGAAAGGTAACATCAATTATATCATTGGATTCCAATTTCCAGCTAATCGTCAATTTGGAACTGATGGTTAAGTAAGAAAATTAATTAATATCTTAATTAAATAACCCCAAACCATCGTTTTATGAAGATTTGGAGCATATCGTAAATGCCGCAAGCTGACGACGACAACAAAGAAACCGGTTCGATCGGCATGACCAATATACCCTTTCGTACTTCGACACTTCAACGCATTTTTGTCTCCACTTTGTATTAAACCCAAAATCAATCAACTGCCCGATTTAGAAAAATCACAGAGCAAGACGGCAAAAGTAAATATGGCGGAGGAACCGATTACTACCACTGTCGCCACGCCGGAAAATCAACCACCGGCGGTACTGACACCTCCGGGAGAATCGAAGTCTACTCAGGAAGTCTGGGCGACGATAGAGGCGGAAGCTCTGGCGAAAGCGACTGGGACTGATCCGCCGGAAACCACCTCCAAGCCGGAAGAAGAAACCGCCGCAGCTCAGCCGGAGGTGTCGCCGGAAGAGCATCATCCGCCGAAGGTGACGGAAACGGAAACGGCGTCGACGGATAAGAAAGAGCTCGGAGACGCGGCGTCGCAGAAGGATGAAGCTGGCGAAGAAGAGAAGAAGAGAATTCCGCAGAATCTGGGCTCGTTCAAAGAAGAAAGCAGCAAGCTTTCGGATCTATCCGTTTCCGAGAAGAAATCTCTCGATGAGCTGAAGCATCTTGTGCGAGACGCTCTGGACAATCACCAATTCGGCTCGAATCCTAAACCGGAAGACTCCGACACACCGGAAGAAGTCGCGATCTGGGGAATCCCGCTGCTGAAAGACGATAGAAGCGACGTCGTTTTGCTGAAATTCCTAAGAGCCAGGGACTTCAAGGTGAAAGATTCGTTGGCGATGCTCAAGAACACAATCAAGTGGAGGAAGAATTTCAAGATCGACGAGCTGGTGGATGAAGAGCTCGTGGATGATCTGGACAAGGTCGTGTTCATGCACGGACACGACCGAGAAGGTCACCCTGTCTGCTACAATGTCTATGGTGAGTTCCAGAACAAGGAGCTCTACAACAAGACTTTCTCTGATGAGGAAAAGAGGAAACATTTCTTGAGGACGAGGATTCAGTTCTTGGAGAGGAGTATAAGGAAGCTAGATTTCAGCTCCGGTGGGGTTTCCACGATTTTTCAGATCAACGATATGAAGAATTCTCCAGGATTAGGGAAGAAAGAGCTTAGATCGGCGACCAAGCAAGCCGTGGAGTTGCTTCAGGACAATTACCCTGAGTTTGTCTTTAAACAGGTACATTAGCTTGCTTGATCCCTCTAGGTCTTTAGTTTTATGTTCCTGTTTTATTGTCTGCCCTTATACATAGTCTAGAATCCAGATTGAGACATGATTGAATATTTTGGTTGAAATGTTATGTTGGTCAATTTTTTTCAGGCCTTCATCAATGTTCCATGGTGGTACCTTGTGTTTTACACTGTGATTGGACCGTTCATGACACCACGATCAAAGAGCAAGCTTGTGTTTGCTGGTCCATCAAAATCAGCTGAAACCCTTTTCAAGTAAACTCTTTTGAAAGATTTCTAGTGATTTTGCTTGTTTGTTTATGTCTCTTTAAGACTTTCTAACTCATGATGTTTTGAAAAATGTGGACAACAGATACATCTCACCTGAACAAGTCCCGGTTCAATACGGAGGATTGAGTGTAGATCCTTGCGACTGCAATCCAGACTTCTCCTTGGATGATCCAGCCTCCGAGGTCACTGTTAAACCCGGAACAAAGCAAACCGTTGAGATCATAATCTATGAGGTTCGTGTATTTACACCTTTTAACTCTTTATTAGTGTAGTATTCATTTCTCAAAACATTAGATAGTTGTTTGTATAAGATGGCACCAAGGTCTTATGAGTCATGATGCTATTAAACCACTATGCAGAAATGTGAGATCGTGTGGGAGGTAAGGGTAATTGGATGGGAAGTGAGCTACAAGGCAGAGTTTGTGCCGGAAGAGAAAGATGCTTATACGGTGGTTGTACAGAAACCGAGGAAGATGAAACCATCTGATGAACCGGTGTTGACCCAGAACTTCAAAGTGAATGAGCTTGGCAAGGTTTTACTCACAGTTGACAATCCAACCTCTAAGAAGAAGAAGCTCGTTTACAGGTTCAATGTCAAACCTCTCTGATTGTGAAGAAACAAATGAAAATCTTTCCAAACTTTTTTTATTTACAAAAAATATGGTTTATAGACTTTTGTTTTTCTTAAAAAAACAGAAGTGAGATATGTCTTATGTGTGTTTTGTATATGTGAGAGTGTTTGCTTTATCATTTCGTGTGGTCTATACGATGTAACTTCTGCATCTTTTGCTCTTTTAATCATTTGGGAAGAATATATTTTACATGACTTTCTGTTCTGTAATAAAGATCTTTAAATCTCAACCGTTTATTGATTTTGTCTGTCTATGAAATCAACTGTATAACGCTCATTAGGTGTCGTGCAACATCAAAGATAAATCACTCAAGTTTATTATACTATTCAATTGAAATAAATGAAAGAGATTCGTAATGCTTGTTGATATACACGTTGTAACAACTTCTCGACACTGACATATGTTGTTGTCTGAAGACTGGAGTGGTTGGAAGAGGTTCCATTTGTGTCTTATTTACCCAAAATTTGCTGGCTGTTGCATCATTTATAAATGCCAATCATGAATTGGGATTTTTTCTAAAAGTAAATGCTATTTTAAACAGATGTTTTATTTATTTATTTATAAACAAAACCATCCAGCTACTGATTTTATTAATATAAGTATATATATAATTTTCTTACATAGATGGATTTTCATTGGCAATGATAATTACCATGCTCCTTTAAACGGTGAACGAACAAACCTATAAACGTATGTATAAAACTATAAATACAAACACATTCGCACTCACACATACATATATGTAAACGCATACTTCTCTATTTATAGAAGTGAATCAACCAACTACAATTATTGTGTGATTCAATTGTGTGAAAGTGAGACTTTTTTTCTTTCTTTCTTTGTGAATTAAATTAAGGAAAAGCAAAAAAGGAAGTGAATGAGGCATTGATGAAGAAGCACATGCGACGACTATGGCTAGTAGTAGTGAATGTGTTCAAATTTCATTCATGGCTGTTTGTGTTGTGTCGGTCCACGCATGTCCCTTCCCTTTTCTATTGTTTGATTATTTATACATTTTTTCATTATAAACTCCAAACTGTCTTCAGACCCGACATTATGATCACTCCGATCCTTATACATATTATTCATTTATGTAACCATTGCAAATTCATGCTTTGCACTAATAACACTCATCTTTAGCTGCTTTCAAGTTGACACTCTGTATTCGTTCAACTTCCAATATTCTTTGTGGATCATGTTACAAAGTCTAGATTCTAGATTTCCGTTGTTCAGTTTAGTCTGGATATATGGTTAATCAACAACCTAGAGCCACTTCCCTTTCAACTACTATAAAATTTACATGGCAATTAGAGTTTCGAAATGTAGTAGGACATTCGATTTAAAGCATTTTCCGACTAAAAAATGCCCCCTAATTTTCAAGGATAAGTTTGTACTGTATGCTAATAACATTTTGATTATGAATGACGTAAGGACAATGACATGTCTACATTTATATTATTATAATTCAAAACTTCTTTTAAGATGAAATCATCATGGTAAGGGCCGTAGTTTAAAATTATATTTAATTATTATTACTTTGATAAACATGCGGATTAGACAGACTTTGATGTTAACTTTAGACTTATTGCATTTTCAAAAAAAAAAAAAACTTTAGACTTATTGGATTTATGAGTAGAGGTCATAGCCAATTAGTTTGCATTTGCTAACATTCACACCTATCCCGGTCACTTTATGTGTATATTGTCTGATGGTCTAATATCCTTATAACAATTTATATTCAATCTAGAGGTCAATTTTCAAAATTATATCAGTTCATAATTCAAACAATAGGGTCCATTTTCATTATTTCTCGTCCTTAGGTCTCACTCAGTGTTATCCATTTCCACGGATTATAAATATACAGGGGTTCCTTTTTCATATTTTATATTCATCTCTCTCTATCAATATTGATATAACAACAAGTCTTAGATCAGTCTGGACACGTCTCTTCTCCTTATCTTATAAATCATATATATCCACTGAACATTATATTTATAATATCTATCTATTGAATGATAATACATTAGAACTAAACACAAGTAACTTTCAACTCTATTTTTATCTATTCAAAGATTTGGTCTGGACAATTTGCTTTACCTTTGTTTTAGAATCAGTTCTCATGAACAAAAGTAAAGATAAAAGATAGAGAAAGACAAATATAAATAATGAATACATTAAGATTTACACAAATTATACAAAGAAAAGTAAAAGGTAAAATAATGAAACAAAGTGTTTATGTTTTTTTTTTTTTCTTTTAAACTTTAATCACATATTCTCCCCACACACAAAACAACCCCCAATACTCAAAACAAAGCAAACGCCCCAGCAAAACACAACCACCTTTTGAGATTTCAAAATTACATATTAAAAAAACAAACTAAATAAATTAATTAAAAATTTGTTCCCCAAAACAACAATATAGCATTTTTCTCTTCTTCCTTCGATTTGGGTCGTATCAAGTAACATATAGTCTCCAACTTTAATTTCAAAGATCAGACCTTGGTTGAGTTTTGAACCTGTAGAGAACTTTCTTCTTCTTGGAAGTCTGGTTATCGATTGTGATCACAATCTTTCCCGGTTCACCCACCTTAAAAGAATCGGCTATCACCGGTTCATCGGTTAACACAATCTTCCGGTTTTTAGAAACGATCACATCATAACTTCCCTCGTTTGTCGGCTCAAACTGAGCTCCGTAGCTCACATCTGCACCCAAAACCCTAAGCTCCCATGAAAGCGTGCAAGCCTGCCATAGCCAACGCAATCCACATTAACATTCTTAATCAACAATACAAACCTTTTTAAATCGAATTCTAAATGTATATATATACCTCAGAAGCAGGCAAATCAATGGTGTATTTGGATGATGGTTTAACAATGGCTTCGGTTATTGAGTTTTCAGTGGTCAAAGGAATATCTTTGCTAAGTCCGCCGTATTTAAGCGGGACTTGTTCAGGAGAGATGTATCTGTTTCAACCAACAAACATAAGAGCTTAGTGAAAGAAACAGATCGAATTATGAAATTGTAAAGTAATTAGTGGTTAATTACTTGAAAATCGTATCGGCTGATTTGGATGGACCAGCAAGGACCATCTTGCTCCTAGTCCTTGGCGATGTGATGATAGATCCGAATGTTTTGTAGTATGGAATGTACCACCATGGGACATTGATGAACAGCTGCAACATAAAAACATATATTAATAAATCTTTTAAAAAGGAAATTAAAGAATAAATCACCAGCAGTTTCTGTTACATTACTATTTTTTGTCAACTATATGGATTGTAATATTTTAATTAATGATTCTAATTGAAGTACCTCTCTAGTGGCAAATTCGGGATAATTGTCCTCGAATTGCTTGACGGCGCGTCTGATGAACTGCCACAAGGCTCTCTTGCCGAGTCCCGGAGCGTTCCTGAAGTCGCTGACGAACACGAACGAGGATTTAGCGTCAGGGCTGCTGAAGTCAAGAGCTCTCACACACTTCTCCTGTAGCTGAATCCTCCAGTTGAGGAACTTGTTAAGCTTCTCCTTGTCGGAGAAAAGCTCCTTGTTCTGAAACTCGCCGTAGGAGCTGTAGATCACGACGTGGCCTTCCTTGTCGACGCCGTGAGCGAACACCATCTTCTCGAACTCGCTCGCTTCTTCTCCGGCTTCGGCTTCCACTAGCTCGTCGATTTTGTTTTCCTTGCGCCACTGGACGGTGTTTTTCAGCATCGTCAGGGCTTCCTTGACCTTGAAGTCTCTCGCGCGGAGGAATTTCAGGAGGATCACGTCGGATCTCTCGTCTTGGAGGAGTGGAACTCCGTAGATCGAGACTTCTTCCGGCTCCACAGGCTCTGCCTCGGCCACGACGGTGGTTTCTACCACGACCGGCGCGGCGGATTCCGTGGGAGTGACGGAGACGATCGACTCTTCGATTGCTTCCACCGTCTTGGTTCCGTCTTCCTCAGCACCGGAGGCTTTCTCTGTTGTTACGGTGGCTGGTTTCTCTTCCGGCACCTCAGATTTCTCCTCCGATTTGGTCTCTGCCGGAGCCGCCGCCTCAGATTTCTCCTCGGACTTGACGGCTTCTTCTGTTGCTGGACCCGCCGGTTTCTCTTCTTCCTTCTCGGTCTTTGTTGTCGTTGTCTCTTCCTTCTTTTCCTCTGTTTTCTCTTCTTCTTTAGTTTCCTCCGCCGGTTTCTTCTCCTCAGGTTTCTCTTCCTTCACCGGCGCCGGAGCAGTGAATTCCCGTTTGTTCAAAGCCTCCCTCACGAGCTCCTTGAACTCCTCAAGTGCCTTCTTTTCAAGCTCCTCAGGGGTTGGAACAACCACCTTCTCAGCTGCAACCGTCTCTTCCTCCTTGACCGGAGCAGATTTCTCCGCCTCCTCCGTCGACGCCTTCTCTTCCTTCTCAGGCACCGCCTTCTCCTCCGAGGCAACCGGAGCAGTCACCTCCTTCTCCGGCACCGGAGCAGGAACCGTCACCTCTTTATCGGTCATTGGTTTCTCCGTTGCGGCGGCGACGGCGACAACATCAGCTGATTTCTGGGCCTCCTCTTGAGCCATCTCTGAAGAAATTTCGAAATTGAAGAAAAGAAAGGAGAGAGAGAGAGAGAGAGAATGGAAAGTGAGAGAATTGTGAGGAGAGAGAGAGGTTTATAAAACGGAAGGCAAAGGGAAACACAGTCTGGTCGGAGCTGTTTTGACAGCTCATTCGAACGCTTTCTCAGTGGGTCCCATTTCTTTTCCTCCAACGGCCGTCTTTTGCTTCACGAATTAGTACACTTCCTATTTTTAACCATTACCCCAAAACACGCCATTTTGTTATTTTTACTTTTTACTCAACCTTACCTCTTTTTATATCCTTTCCATAACTAACAATTATTATTATTTACTATATCTATATATTCCTCATATAAGCGATACTTTTGTGAATATTTCTTTTTTTTTGTTGTCTGTGCAAATTGTGAATATATCATATTTAAACATATCTTGATGATCCTCGCTTTTGTAGATATTCTACCGCTTTTTTCCCCCTTAGTCGTCGAGAATTTTTCAATGTACCTAGATAGTTTTTTTTTTTTTTGGTTTTAGTCCTTTACTCGTTACTTAAATGTCAAATATTTTATAATAAAAGAATATAATTTCAAATTATGTAGATAGAAAATTAATAAATTGAAATTGAGGGAAAAAAGTGGAATCATTTGAGAGGGAAAGAGAAGGGGGTAGCATGCTAGTCATATTTTTAATAATTTTTTTATTATAAAGTAAAGTATGTTTCAAATCATGACACCATGTTATTTTATCCCATAGTGTGTTTTAAATATCTACCAGCCAAAGTTTTATTAACTCTCTCTACCAGAATCACACAAAAAAACATATACAAAATTCAAGTTGTAACCGATGATTTTTCAGAAAAAAAAATAATTTGTAACCGATGCCAATCCGACATAAAAATTTTAATCCTCTTTTCAAGTTGTACTTGTACCTATACTTCAATTGTACCTCTGAGTTCCATTTTTGAACGAAATGCTGAGATTATTTTTTTAAGATGAATCCATCGCTGATTCTGTTAACCAGAATACCACATCGAAACAAATTATCAGTTTTTTTGTTCAGAATTTATTGGTATTTAGAGTAGAAAGATTTGATTCCAGTAATTATAACGATAACATAACAAATTTGCAGTTAAATATAAATACATTGATAATCTAATAATTGAACAGGTTTTGATTATCAAAAGTCTCACGGTTCAACTCCGGTGTGTAGCACCCACATAGCTAAAAACGTCATCTTGAGACCACTTCGCACGTAAAGAAATCCTCAAATGATTGTAATTGTACATTATATAATCTATATATATTGGAACCGATAATGTTATGCGTCGTTGTAACTTGTAACGTACAGCTCTTGGATTGTTGATTCTAAATTGATTGCGAAATCAGATCATTAAGGGGAAAATTCCAATAGGTACTAGAAGCTGTCAACGCTACGTTGGCGTTTAATCAAATTAAACAGTACTTAAATTCATGTCATGTTTTGTTTTGTATATTTTCTATGGTCATCATCAGACTTTCTTTGCCACCTAAGTATATAATAAATTCATTGAATATACTGTATATACTAATCAATAATTTTGTAAAAATGTATCCGCATCTTTGCTTTTTTGGTGTGTTTGTAATCCTGTTACATATATATGTATATTTTATAATCCTGTTACATATATATGTATATTTTCGTGTAATATATATCTTCTTTTTTTCATGTGTCACATAAGAAATTAACTAGTGGTGAGTTGAGTAGTAGTACCCTTAAATTACAAAAAGATTTACCACCAATTCTGCCCAAAATACAAGAGTTATATTTGTTAGAAAAAGAAGAAAGAAAAAACTAAAATCGTATTTATTTTTAAAAATATATCTGAAAAAAGTAAAGTTGGTACCATTGCGCGCGGGACCCAGAAGTGATCCGTTAAAAATCCCTTCATCGGTTGCTTTTGTCAAAAGAAAAAGAGGAATGAAACTGTTTGGTTGGTTTTTTTGTTCATCGCTGGTGCCATCTTATTTTTATACATTCTTGCATTGTATTTAGCTGTTTTCCCCTTTTTTTTGTTTTTTTTTTCCTTTCACAAGCCACTAACTTATTTTTTTATACATTCTTAACAAATGATTGATCCAGTAGTCATCATCTTATATTTTCCTGGTGGAGGCAAATAATCAAATTGTTTAGACTCTATGTAGTTTTCTTATAGCTGCTAAGATCATCGTGTCTGACTTTTCTTATATTATCTACATATATTACGCATTCTATATTAACTTCTTTTTAAAATCTCCATAGGAAGCAGTATGATATTGTGTAAGCAATGATCATGGAGAAGCTTATAAAATATTTAGTTAAAAACTAGGGGAAAAAGGCAAATAGTCTATTAGGAAAATGGCATCCCGCGATTATACATTCCGTAACTAGTTTTTGTCATTCTTAAGAGGCAGAACAAATTATTGATAATTTGAGTACATATCGACATTTTATTTTCTAGAGACAAAACGATGAACAATATAGTACATGCATGAATACACTTTTGATAAGAAAACGTAGTACATAATTTATAAAAGGGATTATCTTTTATCTCTTACATCATAACAAAACATCCTAAATATGTTATTTTTATCATAATATATATTTATCCGGACTCCCCTATGAACTAAATTCTGTAATGGACTCATGGCATAGAGATGGAGTCCTTCAGGCAATTGTTAAGAAATTCTATTTTTCTATAGGAGCAGAACAAAAGATAAAGTAAAAAGGGTTAAGGGTAGCTTAAAATGAATATGCCGTTAAGATGACTTTTAAAGTTCAAAAATGTTTCAAGTGCTGCTAATTGGTAAAGAACCAAAAGAAAAGAAATATAAAAATGAAAACAAGGAATACTTGCCGTTTTCACTTTTCAGTTTTCACATCAAAATGAGACAACTTGCTTGTTGCTCTTAACACAAACGACAAAAAAGAAGAAAATATGTAATTCTAGGGAACGAATTCAAATTTACACGAAATTTATGCAACTACTGCAAAATTAATTTATTTTTGAGAGTTTGCTTTTAACTGTTACTCAAGCAGTAAATTGTATGTATACGCTATCATTTTTTAATTCTTAATTCACAAACAGTAAGTTGTTCTGTCTATCAACTATCAAGAGGTTGTATGTATTTTATAAGTTTTTTATTCCCCTGCCGCCAAACTATTTGTGTTGCTCTAATGCTCTTTATCTGATAGTGCGTAACTAATTAATTGGGTATTAGGCCCACGTGAATATGATTTTTTGCACCTATTCAAAACAACATAACATTCATTATAACAATTAATCTACTTGGCCCAACTCATTCTATTCATCTTATCTCCACTATTTCCATCCAATTGTTTTTTATTTCACTCAGCTTTATTCCTCAAGATCGTCCAAAAAGTTTACTTTGGGCTGTTGTAGACGTACGACTTAGCGAAATAGACAAAGGAAACGAAGGCGATGGAGCTGAGACAAGCAAGTAGCCAGTAGAAGTAATCAAGATGGGCTTGGTTCAGGTTATTATCGAACCAACTCACTTGACCGGACTGGCTCGTGGCTTTCTGGATGACCGATACCATGAAGCTACTCAAGAAGTTGCCTATGCCTATTACGCTTATGTACAAAGACAGTCCCAAGCTCCTAAGCTCGACAGGGACTTGTCCGTAGAAAAACTCTTGTAAACCAACCATAGTGAAAACGTCAGAGACTCCATAGAGAACGTACTGTGGAATAAGCCACCAAACGCTCATTGGTACCGTGGCATTAGGCGAATCAACAAGTCCGTGATCTCGAGCGGTCTTGAGTCTTTTCATCTCGACCAAAGCAGCTATTACCATTGAAAGAATTGAGAGGAAAATGCCTGTGGAAATCCTTTGGAGAGTTGTGATCCCCGCTGGTTTATGAGTGATTGTTCTTGCGATTGGGACGAATAAACGGTCGTAGACTGGGATGAATACGAGGATTGCTAGGCTTATGAAGCATTGGAGTGTTGCTGCTGGGACTAAGAGTGTTGTTGAGATTGATCTGTCCATTGTTGATCCTTGCTTTGTGAAGAAAGTAGGAGACTGCGCATACACAACGCCAAACACTAGACAACACATCCAAATTGGAACGAGGCTCAACACAGCTTTTGCTTCCTCAACTTCAGCTGAATCACAAGAAATCACCGCTCTGTCCAGGAATCTGCAGTTCGTCAAAGATTGTATTCTTTTAGGGCATTTTTTCTTCTTTATACTTGTGAGGCAAGCATGTCACAGTTGTTTTAAATTCAATTTTTTTTGTCAAATAGAATATTTTAGAAATTAGTAACGTAAACACCAAAACGTGCATGCTAACAGAAAAATTATAATTTTTTTTTTCAAACAAAAGAATTTGATTGCATAATAAGGATTGTGATGTAATTATTTGGAAAAAAAAACCGCAATGTAAAAGTAAATCGAAAAAAAAAAAAATTAACTTGTAAAGACACTATTACCTGAATTTATTTGAAGTTTCGAGGGGAAGAAGAAGGGCGGTCTCTGAAGGTGTTTGTCGCCGGTTTTTTGCAGCAGCTACGAAAACACGACCGATTCTAACAAAAGGGTTATTATGCTTTCTTCCTTGGCTTCTTTCTCCGGTTCTGAAGCGGTAAGTGTGGGTTCCAAGTAAGAACACGAGTAGAGCAAGCATCATAGAAAGACATGGAATCCCAAATCCTAAGGCCCAACTCAAATTCTCTTGGACATAATTAGTGATCAGTCGAGTGGTCAATATGCCGGTTGATATCGCAAAGTACAACCAGTTAAAGTAAGAGCTCTTGGATTTAGACTCTTGAGGGTCTTGTTCATCAAACTGATCTGCTCCAAAAGCTCTAAGACATGCCTTGAACCCTCCTTCGCCTATCGCTATTAGATAGAGGGCACAGAAGAAGATTGTTACCTTGAGCTCAGACACGCACGTGACGAGTATTTCTTGATCTTTACAAAGAGAAGGCATCGTCGCCGAAAACGTAAGCAGCCCAAGTCCCTAAAATAAAAATCGTACAAATAAAACTATAAACTTCTAAATCTCCAAGACTTCCCTAAAAAGGAAAACAAAAGAAGAAGGTTACTAGCTATTTTACCACAATATAGAGAGAGGATGTTAAGAGGATGGTACGGTAACGGCCGAGAAACGAGTCGGCGATAGAACCCCATACAAGAGG